TACATCTCATTCCTGTGAAGAAATATTCAAACTCAGAAAACGTGCTCTGCTCGGGCTGAAAATGCGTTTAAAGCAATCAAGTCTTAAATCGTCGTCATCTTATGAGAATAAAGTCACATCTTTCTTGGATGAGTTGTATTTTTTTGGAGAGAAAATAAATCAATAAAAGAATATTCCGGGAATGAAGTTGCATTTTTCAAGTCACAACAAAGTTGTAATAGTGGGAAGAAAGTTGAAATATTACAGAAATAAGTTTCATTTCAGTGAAGTCGCAATGAATCAGGAATCAAGACATTTTAGAATAAAACGGCCAACTTGTAAAGGACAAAAAGAAAAAGACAACACTCTCCATAAAATATGAGTTGCATGATGAGATTCGTGTATTTTGATAGAAAACAGTTGCAAATGACAGAAATGAAGTCTGATCCTTTGAGTATTCTTCGAAAAAGTAACAGAACAAGAATGAAGATTTTCCCCGCAAGCATCCATCTGAGCGGAGCGCAACGCAGGAGCGCCAAACTCTCAAGGAAGGAACAGCTCATGTTGTTTCATCGCCATGGCACATTGAAGCTCAAAAAATGTGACTTTATCTTCATACGATTGCAACTTTCACTCCACGAAAAAACAAATCCAAGTTGGTTCATAAAAGTTCAGCCTTTCTTGCCATCTCGTCATGTTTGCTTTCCGTTTCGGGTACGACGGGGCCGAGACATTGGTCGTGGTTGGACGTTCACTGATGAGACGAATGAACGGAACGTAAAAAAAAAAAAACAAAAAAAAGTACTTGGAGATGTGGAACAGAGGCGCCAGCCCGTTGTGACTCGGTGACGGACCCAAGACGACGCGGGCGGCCAGAAGGCGCCCCCGGCGATCCCTTGGGTGCCGTTCGACACATTAGTGGTTGAAAACGACAGCAGCTCAATAATTTAGGCAATAAATAGTTTTCCAGCACACAGGAGGAGTACAAAACCTTTTTTTCTCCTTTTCGAAATATAAAAATAGAAGAGGCGGAGCCTTCTCAATATACACGTCAGTGCCTCGCGTCTACAAAAAGCGACGACGCGCGCTCCAATCAGACGAGAGAGATTCCGTCGGAGACGTTGGAAGGACGTTTGGGGGGGGGGGGGGGGAAAATGTCTCCCAACACTTTTGCAACGCGACAACTTTTTTTTTTCCCCCCTTCGGCCACACACACGGCGACACCGTGACGGGGCGGATCTGTCCCTCTCCAGCTCCCACAAAACAAACAACAAAATAAACGTTGCGGGGCTTTTAATAAAGACACAGCGCCGGATTGTCTCAAAAGAAAGAGAAAACACATCGTTGTCTCGCATTCATGTGTTGGGTGGGCTCGGTGATGCGGCGTGGCCGACTGGCCCACATCGGGCATGATGCGCAATTGACGGATTGTCCCCTTGCTCTCCTTGCCCCCGTCCGAGGGCATGAATTGATTGCTCCTTTTTTTAAAAAAATTTCTATCGACGACGGCTTGTGCAAGTTGGGGCACCGGTCGGCCTGCGCACGACGTCGGTGCCGTTTGAGGGCTGAGATATAGAAAAAGACGTATTGCGCTGAAAAAAAAAAAGAAACAAAACAAACAAAAAAAAAACACCACCGCAATTCAATGAGTGACAGCAGTCCAAGTGACCCTTCCATGATGATAGAAATATATCATGAATATACTGCACATTTTCCACAGAGAGGCAATTGGGGATCATCAACGTGCGATACGGCGCGACCTCACTGCATTCGAGCGACTCGCTCGTTGGGCGACGACCGGGCCGACGAGCTCAAGGTCAAACGTTCCCTCGGTGCGGCGTGCACAAGGGCGAGCAAAGTCGGCTTATCGGCTGTCGCTCAAGATCATCCTCCCGAAGTGAGCGGCGTGTGAAGAAGAGACATTTTTTCCTCCTCGATCGGCTCGGGAAACACGGGGCGACAATTGGCAACCGGGGTACGCGCAGCCCCCGCAATTCGGAGCCCCATTCCCATAACGGTGAGCAGAGGCCCGCCTATCGGATGCCTCCAAGATGAGCCGCAACGATGAACCGGTGGACGATCTGCTTCGAAAACAGTGGAGCCCGACGAGTGGGAATTGGGCTGCGCGCGCACACGTGCCATTCCCCATCGGGGTTGAGCAAAGGCCCGTCGAGCGCGTCCTGGCCGATTGTCCCGCGGTGCGGCTTGTGTCGAGTCCGTTTTCCTGCCCGGGAAAAGGAAGGGCCGGCGACGGCAAGGCTTCTTTCCGTGTCCCCCCCCCCACGCAGGTCAGTCTTGGCCCAGGGACACGCAAGCTTTTTGTTTTGCGTCTGCTCTGCTGTGTCGCTCGTCACTCAATTATTGGGTCAGAGGTTGTTTAAGGAAAAAAAAAAAAAGGCATGATGCGCGTAACTCCCGTCACGGTTCGTCGTGACAGTGTTGGGAATCCTTCACTCATTTCCTGCTCCCTGACGACTTTGTGGTCGGATTTGTATCAAGTGGACTTTTGAGTCCGCGATCATGCAACTGAAATCAAGCAATTTGCGAAGAGGAACCGAGTGAAGGATTTCGAACGCAGCTTCCTTGGCGAGTTCATCGCGCAGCAACGGATGACTGCGCTCAGCTCATTCGCTGCTTTGCCGCTGAAAGAAGCGCGACCGTGCTTTCTTTTGGCGCATCGAACGCCGCGTTTTTGAGGTCGCGAGAGATCAGTCGAAAGGTCGGACAACGGCCGGCAGCGAATGAGTTCGAAGATCGTTTTGCGAGCGCAACTCCTGAAAGACGACGCCGGGAAGGGGGAACGTTTTGGTTTTGGTATGGGGGGGGGAACGCGTCACGGCATATCTTGCTTTTCCAGCTGTCGACGAGGCCTCAAGATGCAATGTGGGAGAGACAATAAATGGGATGAACCGTCGCGAGTCCTTCCCATCGGGCGACGGGACGACAAAATCGCCGACTCACGGCATATACGGCGGCTCGGGAGGGATTCCCGACGCGGCCGCGGAGTTGAATGCAGAAGAACAAACGGGCGGCCGGACTCCAGTGGAGACAACACGGAAGGAAAGTGAAGCGCATTTACAAAAGAAAACGAGGATTTGGGCACCGAGCTGTCCGAGCGCAGCGCGTGGTCACCGTCGAGGTTTCAAAGGAAGCACGGCAAACAAGAGAGTTCAAAAGAAAACACAGCAGTTTGGCATCCTCGCTGGCGGGAAAACAAAAGTGCGTGAACCACAAACGGGAACGCGGGAAGAATCCAGTCCGTCG